TGCCTGCCTCTGCCACACGGGTACACCTGTCAGTGCCCTCTCGGCACAACGGGCCTGTACTGTGAGCAAGGTCAGTCTTGCACGTTCCTTTCCTTCATACAACTTGTTTTTATTCAGACTGCTGCAAGTCAGAAATGGAATTTCTTATATGGGTTGTTACAAATTTGTACTCAAATGTTACTTTTTCATTCAGTAAATTCAGTTATTCTGGTTATAGGCATTTATTCTTTCTGTTGTGTGCAAGAGTTTACATAACATACAGTACATATTTGACATTTATTGCATGATATCCTGTTTCTATTGCTATATGTTTTGCAGACTAATATGTCCTGCCTTCTTTAACTCAAGTGCATGAAAAAGTTAAAATTTGGAAAGATATTAACAAGCTGTAGTTAACTGAGGAACCAGAGCATCATTATAGCTCCTACCTGTGCTCAGTGAATGGGGCTGAAGTCATGGGGAGACCTCTCTCACTGTGCTGAGCTATTTGTGCAAACTGAGCTAAATCTCTCACACAGAGATCCAAAGTTTCTCATGATTTAAGCAGACTCAAAGGATCTGGCCTTTTCTCTTTCATGCACATAGTCAGCAGTCTCATAGATTTCATGCAATGAATACTGTTAGTGGAACACAGCAGCTTACTGATCAGGGCCCTCTGACCACTGTGCTAAGCAGGATTATTTAGTGTAGTCGCCTGTTCAAGTCATCATGTGTCAGCATGACTTTTGATCATTGACTTGCAAAGTTAGCAGAAACAGAAAATACAGAAAGTGCTATTCAGATCAGTTGCAAAGCTTTACAAGCTAGTTGTTGAAGTAAAATAAAGCATATCTCTAGACACTTACTGAAAGGATTCCATATAACTCACCATATTAGGTTGCACATCTCTGAAAAAATGTGTTCACTGCAGTCAGAATCATGAACAATGGTGCATTGTGCCTATTGCACCCTGAATATTATGAAGAATGCGGCTCTGTGTGTCACACATGTGTATTTGTATGAATGTTACATTTCTTTGGAATACTGAGCAACAAAAGGAGCTTATTAACTGCAACAAAATCTCAGTTATTATTAGGACAATGACAAACCTATTTTTTAGTAGGTACATTTTCTTGGACAGGCAAGACAATTAAATCAGTGATGATGATTAACATTGGTCATCAATAGGGCTGGTCTAAAAAAAAATCAACAAGCTAGTTCAGTGTGTGGCCTGTGTTGAAAGCAACCACAGGGTTGCAGAGGGTGACTTATCAGTTCTTTCATCTTCCTTTCTTAAAGCTGGAACAAGCATGTGCCTGTTCCCTGGTCTCTCAGCCCTAAAGATCACATATCATTCCTAGCTCATCCCACAGGTGAGCCATGGGGCTCACGTCTGACATGTAGACCTTCCAAAATATCAAAAAATAACTGACACTTCTCATTTCTCCATGAGCTGATGTTAGTAGCACGAGGATGTGTGCTGTACAGCTGGAATGTTGTCACCTCAGGATGAGCTCACCAGAAGAGAGGCCCACGAAGGCTCAGGATGAAGAGCCATGCAGTCAGGCTGCCATCAGTCTCACTCCTGCCCAGACCATTACACTCGCACCTCCATATCAAGCTGGCCAATCTTCATGCCTGTACCTGATGGACCACGAACGTCCATCAGGGTGGTCAAACAGAGGTTTGATTCATGACAACGTGGTTCCACTGCTGGAAGTCCACCTGATGGCACAAAGGCATTGTTCTCTTGAAAAACAGGACAGCTTCGTTTCTTTCTGTGTTCTTTTGTGGTTTTTCTCCAGGTTTGAAATTCAACTGGTAAAATCACCTAATCATCTTCACTAATAAGGGGTTTTAGTGTTAATGCATCCAAGTCCCACAAATCACTGTCAGTAATAACCAGTCAAAACTGTATAAATTAACAATGTCCAATATCTAGGTACTTTGTCTAAAAAAACCATGCACAAAATAGTGATTCTTTAATGTTCCATATCTTTATAGAGTATGATTAGGATCTGCCTGTAGGGTCATTAATTAGCTCACTGCCTGATAATCAGTTTAAATAAGGGATTATAAGCTTTACGGGTCCTAATGCTGTCTGCCCTCAATTTCAATACATATCGAGATTGACAAGAAGGCAGCAATGTTGTCTAAATAATAAAAATGCAAATGAACGTCTGTTCATTATTCCCAAGAAACGAAGACCGATTTAATCATTCCATCAGTATTAGAATTACATTTTAAGTATTCAAATTCTTGTTTATTTCTTTTCTCAGTTTATTTTCAAAACTCTTTCATGTATGCACCTTTTCAATTTTAAATCTATACACAAGGTGGTACAGTGAAATAGCAGTGCTGCTTCAATTGGGTTCAGTTCAAACAGTATAAACTGTTTACAAAAATAAACTGAGAAAGATGATAATGTTATATAATCTTAACTGTAATTTTCTAATTTTGTAAATTGCTGCCTTACAGCTCTGGGACCCCGGCTCTGTGTGGAGTCTATATGTTCTCATGCGCTCACGTTAGTTTCCTCCAGGCACTCAAGTTTTCTCCCACAGTCCAAAATAATAGTGGGAGGTTAACTGGCTTTCTGGAACCTTGGCCCTGGTGTGAGTGTCTGTTTATGTCTACCTGCCCTGCGTTCTGCATTTTGAGTCCATGTATCTCAAGAGATACACATTCTGCCCTGAGTCTGAAATTATTTCCGTTGTCCGTGTCTCTTGCAGGCCTCACCATCAGCGATCCGTTCTTCAGCAGCGACCAGTCCTCCTGGATGTCTTTTCCTCCTTTTAACATCAGGCACAAAACACACTTGCGGCTGCAGTTCCAGCCTTTGTCCCCAGATGGCATAATGTTCTACACAGCACAACACCTCAGCCCACGAGCAGGTTGGTCAAGGAAAAAGACTGGACACTGAAATTCTTGTCTGCACCACATAGGTAGATATTTCTAATAGTGTTGTTAGGCAAATAGTCCATCACTTCTCTTCCAATATAATTGATCGAAATGCTTTGCGATATTGTGTTGATAATAGACTAAAAGAGCAGCAGCATAAGGAAATTATCTTGGATCAAATGTTATTTTAAATGTAGTCAGGTGCTACACACCCTGCATATGTAATGTCTGTTTCAATGGGTGGAAAATTTTACAGGTTTTAACAGAGGGGGAGCAGAAATTTAAAAAATGTCCTGGTGCATAAGTTTCCAACATCATAAAATGCTGAATAGGGTCTCAAAGCTGCTTATCATGCAGTCATACACTTCTTTGCCATAATCCAATTAAATCCAGGCACAATTAGATTGATGAAAGAGTCCAATATATTCTTAGAACAGAAAGCCCTTACATAACCCCGATTAGCACTGTATTGATTTAGCAGGAACCACTTATGTTTTCAACACAAAAATATACATTTACCATTTAATCACACATATGTATGCTGGGATAATTACTGTTATAGTTAATTGTTCATAAACAATTTGGAAATATTCCAGTTCATAATTCAGACATAGGTGTGCAGTAAACTGCCAAGATTAAAGCTTTTGTGGAAAAAACAAGATACTAAACATTTTTTATCTTGCATGAAGCTAACTGAACTGCACATCTTCAGTGGGTTTTAGTTCAGCTGTGAACTAGTCATTTTACTAAGGATTTTTCCATGTATTAAGCTGCTGATAGTTTTGTATTTCTTTAATAAAACTTATAATAGCCAATGCTCAATAGCAGAAGCCCTGATAATAGTGATAATTGTAGTCACTTAAATCACTGATTAACACTTGAAAGGTTCAGATAGAAAAAAAAAAACCTATGAGGACCTTTTGCTCTCCAGGAGTAAGCAGAAACCAAGATAAAAATACACAACAGTCACTGTTTCGGCTTCAGAGCAGATAAATGTAGTGAAGGCGGTTGCTTCTCATTCAGTTTGTATAATAGACTGTGTTTTCCTACAGGAGATTTTCTCTGTGTATCCCTGACGCATGGCTATGTGCAGCTTCGTTACCACCTGGGGGATAAAACTCACACACTACAGTCGAGGGAACAAGTGGACACCACTGGCAAATCCTGGCACTCGGTTCACGCAGGCAGAGAGGGAAACTATGGCTATCTGGTTCTGGACGGCGCAAAGGTGAGCCGGAACTCGACTCCGGGCATGACGGCACTCGACACAAACACGCACTTCTTCGTGGGAGGCGTGTCGCCTTTATCTGCAGTCTCCAGCAGCGCTGTGGAGGATGAACCCGTCGGCTTCACCGGCTGCATCCGAGAGGTGGTCCTGAATGAGCAGGACTTGCCCTTGACCGAGACGGGGGCGTCCGGCGGCGCTGGCGTGGGGGATTGGGATGGCACGGCCTGTGGGTACAAAGTCTGCAGCAACAATGGAACCTGCAGATTAGACCGTTTCCAGAGGTTCAGCTGTACCTGCCCCCCTCACTGGACGGGCCCCCAGTGTACCCTGTCCGTGTTCTGTGCAGACAACCAGTGTCAACATGGCGCCCTCTGCACGCCCCACGCTCCTTCAGCTTCCTACAGCTGTGCGTGCCCACTGGGATGGGCAGGAAAACACTGCGAGAAACCCATCTCTTTCTGGACTGCAGGGTTTACGGGCAACTCTTATGTTAAATATGAGGATCCAGATTATGAAACAAGGAATCTGAAGTTTACGAAGATCTCCTTTAATTTCACAAGCAGCAAAAGTGATGGTCTCTTGCTCTGGCTGGGAACTGCTGCTGATGAAGACCAAGACTACCTTGCAGTTGGGCTTAACAACGGCCACCTTAAAGTTGCCATAAACCTGGGGGAGAGGATTTCTGTTCCTTTCACCTACCGTGGGACCAGCCTGTGTTGTGACAAATGGCACTTTGTGTCTGTGATTCAGAAAAGAACAGTTTTCCAAGTGTACATTAATGAGGAGAGGGTGCTTTTTGAAGATATAGACCCATTTGAGCGTTATGTGGCTTTAAATTATGGTGGCATCTGTTTCTTTGGGGGATTTGAGCTTCACAGAGATATTGCCAGTGTAACAGGTGGTCTTTTCACTCAGGGGTTAGTGGGTAGGATTAAAGATGTCATTCTGTTCCAGGACCCAAAAAAGGTACAGTTTCTTCAAAGCTCGGAGGGCTACAATATTTATAGCGGAGACACGGTTTAATAAAAATGCAGGTTTCAGGGATTGCTTTAGTATGACATAAAACCTCTCTATACAAAAGGACAAGTATTCATACGATTAGACAGGTACTAAGACTGAAAAAACTGGACATCAAATAGTGTTGTAATAATGAATCGATTTAATTTTTTTGTAAAGTGCATGATTGGGCATGGAGTGTTCAAAACACCGTAAAGATTTATATAAAAAATCCACACTAGACGGAGTGTGGGTGTCTTCTTTAGGATGGAAGAGTGAATTAGACTAAAATTATATTCCCATGAATTACTTGTATGTTATTGTGATGTATAAAAGAAAAGGCATATTACCAGAAGATATGAATACATAATTCCAGTATGGATTTTTATTTCAAATCGTGACTGCAATGTTTTTGTAATTAGAAGTGTCTGATTCATTAGTATTCTAAGTGGAATAAAATACTGAGTTGGTTATAATTATCTGGAAAATCAGTTTTTCTTCCAACTAAATATAGTGATGACAACACAGGAATTGACATATTAAATCAAAAACTTTGCTGGACATGTCAGAAAAAAAGGAATAGAAAACCACTAAACATTTTGCCTTTGGTTAATTGATAAATATGTAATGGAGATAGTTTGCTGACTTTAAACTTTTTAAAAAAAAACTTTGTTTAAAGTGTTTTATAAGATAACCTTCCATTTTGATGTGCTTTTCATCTCATGAGATTTATTCACAGGGAACATTCAGCTATGGATCCAACTTCAATTGTTAATCAAACTTCAAACCAGGATAGGCTAAACAGGGAAAGAGGGTTATGAAAAGGTTTTCTATTTAGTTCCGTTAGCCATGAAAACTTAATAATAGTCTTGCGAACTCTCTTGCTACGCCTGTCCGTGGCCATTGTTAAAATGACACCCATGCAACATAACTTGAGCAATCTACCAAGCTACTTGCCTTAAATAAAACTTCCTTGAACTTAGAAACATAACATAAGAAAAGATAAAAAAGAGAGGAGTCCATCTGGTAGTAGCTAACTGATCCAAGGAACTCACCCAGCTTTTTCCTGAAGGATGCCAGATATCAGCTTGAAAAACATGGCTAAGTAGCTTGTTCCAGATGCCCACAGTCCTTGGGAAATGCTAACCATGTAGTTTCAAAGCCATTCAGGATGCACACTGGTTTCTGGTTCAATTGCCACTGATGCAATGCCCCATCTGCTGTAGTCAATAGGTGAGATCCATCCCTAGGTCTGGTGGCTCACCCTGTTATTTAGCACTAAGCAAACATGTTAGGCATGATACTCTTCCCCTGGATGGGACACAAGTCAAGAGTAGCACTACATCTGCTAAAGCTGGTGCCCATTTATGCAGCTGACGTGCCTGGAGCACCTGGGATGGTATCTTGGTAAAGTGCTCATCTGCTGAAAGACATAACTATGACCATTTTCTCCTTATAAGCATTCCCCCAGAAACAACACTTGTGCAACTATCTACCATCTGATGCAGACTGTTCTCCTTATTGCAAACACATCCGTTCATACACCCCAGTATGTCCTAGGCACAGACGATTCTCAACAGTTTCTTGGCATTATTTCTTACCAGGAGTTTTTGGTTCTTTCTATGGAAAGTACACTTTCTTAACATTCAAAAGTAATCTTAGGTCTTCTACAGACTACAAATTTATACTGACTGCAACTCACCGTGAAGTGCAAGAAAATACTGTATGTACAGAACAAATCTACACAAAACATCATTATGGACAAATATTTAAAAAAACATTTATTTTAGTGAAGAAATTAAAAAAAAATTGATACCCAAGACCAACAATGCTGCTAAAAAGATTTTTAAAAGTCATTTTTCCTTGACCTTACAAACTTCATTACATTGAAAAAAAATGCACTGATTTTATGATGAAAATACTTATTTAATTCCAAGTATGTTTGCCATCTGAAGTAGCTTCATGCAATGTGACTGGTTTCACCAACAGCATGGAGTAGTATCTTTTAAAACAAAAAAAAAAACTCAAAACTCGAGTTCTAATTACAGTCGTACAACATACGAAACAGAAACAGAAGGATCCAAACCAGAAATGTACAACCACTTTTTTCTGTTAAATTTAAAACCCAACCAACTCAAAAGATATGAATATATCTTGTCAGTAATAAAAAAGGCATCTTATATATTAGCTTTAACATATTAAAAAGCTCAACTACTGAAGTATTACTGGTTCTGTTTCTAAAGATAAAATTAAGGAGAGTTTCAGCGGGTGTGTAAATGCAATCTGATACCGATAGAAACAACTATGCACATTAAGAAGATGGCGCCATGAAAACAAGCCATCATAAATGTTTATCGTCTTTTGATTTCTCTTTCGGGGACTTCACCCCTTTCTCGCACTCGTAGTCTTTCTTGTGCCTGTCCCGTTCCCGGTTCTTCTCCCGATCCGCGTCGTGCCGGCCGCCACGCTCCCCGCTCTGCTGCCGGTCCCGGTGCCGCTCCGCTCGGCCGTGCTCCGCGCCGTGACTCGGGTGTCTGTCCCGGTGCCGCTCTTCGTGGCTCCTGTGGTGCTCCCTGCTCTTCTCCTCTCTGCTGTGGCTTCTCTCCCGGTGCCCGCCTTGCTCCGAGTGATGCTCCCAGTGTTTTCCCCTGTCCCTCTCGTGCTCCCTTCCTTTCCTCTCGTGATGAGATTCGCTGTAGAACCTCTGCCGGCCCTGTTGACTGCCATGGTCTCTCTTGTAAGCGTCATCGGAATAATGGGGCTGCCTGTCCCAGTGATCGCTGTAGCGTCTTTCCGGGCCCTTGTCCTCCTTTGAAGGCAGCGGCTTCCCAGACCCCACGTACCTTGGCGGCTCATATGGAGGTGCCGGTCCGGGAAGTAGGTGCCGTGGTGGGAAACCAGGCAGAGGAGGGCCAGCTCCGGGCCAAGATGCACCGTGACTCGGGCCCTCTGGTTCTGGCTGGTGAAACATGGGAGGGGCAGCTCTTGGAAAGCTGAAATTGGGTGGCATCGGCTGGAGCTGTGGCTGGAACTGAGGCACTGAGTTGTTTTGTCCCGGGAAACCTGGTGCTGGTATGGAGTGGTACTGGAATTCGGGACCACTGGCATGAAGCGGAGGGAAGCTGGACGGTGGAGGTGCAGGCCCTCCTTGAGGGAACACCCCTACAGGGGGACCCTGGGGGTGACCCTGCACAGGCATGTTCAGATCAGCACCCTTAGCAAAAGATGGGGCTGTGCTTATATTCTGAACTTCCTCTTGCCGTGTGAGGGCTTGCTGATATGAATAGCCCTGCGGTGTTCCCACCGCACGAGCTGATGAACACTGAATGTCAGTATTCAGCACTGGAACGTTAAATACAGGGGTATGTTCTCGAGGAATAGGATTACCTATAGAACCAGAATGTACATTTTCTGCCTTAAAACTAACTTCTTTTTCTTGAGCATTTCTATGTCCATCATCATCATTAAAGCTTTGCTTTTGGGACAAGTATGGGGCAGGGCTGCTTTTCAAGATTCTTCCCACAGTCTGTCTGGGGTCCTTCACCGAACCAGAAAACACTGAGGATTTTGAGACAGTGGGCTGTTGTTCCTCAGCAGACGCACTAGACACAGCTGGGGAAACTGAACTGATGTTGCCGATTTTTTCAGTAGCCGATGATCCTTCGCTTTTCAGTTGGGCTTTATGCAATTCTTCTTTCTGTGCAAAAACCTTATTTTCTACCTTATTTTCTGACAAGGTGTCTTCCTCTTTACCTGCTTGAGCTGTGGGCAAGTTAGCAAGGAATGCCTCTGTAGAAACATCTGGCGGTTTGTCTTTCAGAGAAACGGGAGAAGGACCACTAGACGGCTCCACACCTGAAGAATCATTAGCTGTACACTTGTCATTTGGATTAGACTGCTGCTCTATTGTAACAATTTTGGCTTCTTTCTTTTTTACAATAAATCGATCTAATTTAGGACCATTTGAAGATGGGTTTTTGCTTGCTATATTTTCTGAAGAAACTCCATCACCTGTGGTCTCTTTCTCTGGTGCCTTTTCTGTTGTACCCAGTAAGCTCTGGATAATATCCATGGGCAATGGTTTGCTTGCCAGATCAAGAGTGGAAGGCTGGTTATCCCAACCAACCAGAACACCGGGAAGGAACCGCAATGGTTTTGGAGGCTCCTGTACGTTGCTTTCCACCACTATAGGAGCTTCTTCATGTTGCTGCTTTTCATCTTCAGCCTCATCCTGACCAGACTGCTGAGCTTTCCCAAGATGCTTTGGTGCGACTACTTTCAGGGGGTTGAAGAAGTCATTTTGTTCATCAGGGCCATCTTCACTTTCATTTGGTAAATCTACCTTGGTCCTTTTCTCTGGCAAAAACCTACTTGAAGAACTTTCAGAAACATCTACTGGTAGGACAACTCCAAAGTCCCTCTTGACCCTCTGTCGAATTATTAGTCCTAGAAGAAGGTTTGGACGTTTGGCTTCTAAACCTGAGAGGTTACAAACAAAAATAAAACATACACATTCATAAATAAAACCGGGAATATTGCATAGGAAGCGATGAATTAAAAACGACTTTAAAAAGTCTTTTTAAAAAAATATCTAAAAATCTAAAAAGCCTGCGCAAAGGTCAAGAGGAGAAATAGTTGGGTGATGGGTGAAGTCTTCTGATAGGGTAGCATGTCAGTGTGGTGGATACTGCCAGCACTAGGGTCCTGGGGGCAATTAAAAACTGAGGCATCTGTTCCCCTGTGTTCGTGCAGGTTTCGGAAAGGTGCCCTGGTTTTCTTTAAGAAGTCTCTTAAAGAATTCGGGTTAAGACTGAGTTGGTACTATAAATGAAGTGTTTCAGGAAAGGAGGGGTGCCCCCAGTACAAACACCTGGACATGGAACTCCAGAAAAAGAAAGGGACAAGCTCAATGGGCAGAATGGCCTCCACTCGGTAGCCCCCCTCATATTTAGAAAAACAGAAGTAAAAATATTGTCCCTTACCTGGACCATCAAAAGGTACAAGATGATGGGGGATTTTTTCTGAAGACCCCAAGGGAATGAGGTACATATCTTTAACCTGCTTCATGTTGTTGGCTACAACACCATAACGCTTGCGGCTGCTAAAGTAGGCATACAGCAGCGTGTAGGAGATCTCATCTTCTTCTGTCCCCGGGGAGAACCGAATCAGACACACCTCCTGGAAGAGTCCACATTTCCACAGATCACTCCACAGATTAACACATACCTACTGTGCAGGAAAGACATCTGAGAAACCCCCTGGGGTGTTCCGTATTCTCATCCATGAGAGAACAAAGACTTCAAATCTTCTCAATAAAGGATGATGACCTGATTCCATGTATAACACAAATGCATAAGCTATATTTGAATTATTTAATTAACAAAATGACCCTTCGATTTGATAACTGGTAGCATCTCTTTGAGCAATGATGACTTCAACTAGATTTTTCCTTCAATAATTACACTCACAATTCAGGTTTTAGATTTTCTGCTCTATTTGCCTTTCAGAACTTCAAGTTGGTGACATTTAAGAGCTTCCTTGCATGATTAGCTCGTGGCAAGCCATGACATGTCAATGGGGATTAAACCTAGACTTTGACTTAGCCAGTCAAAAATGCAAAATTTCTTCTTTAGACATCTGTTGCAGATCTGCTTACACATTTGTCTTGCTGCATGACCCACTTTCAGCTCAGCTTCAGTTGACGGACACATTATTCCTCCAGAATTTGCAAACACAACGATTGATTATTGGCAAAGTAGCCCAGAACCATGATACTCCTACCACTTGAGAGAGTCCGGATGACATTGTTCTGGCGGAAGGCAGCTGTGGCCCGCAACCTTCAGAGGGTGCTGCAGTTACAGCCAATCTGCCACTAGAAGCAATTACTAAGGCCTTTAATTACTTGTAAATAGCTACACCAGGGGTTGACAAACTTAATTACTGGCTAATTGATAGAAATTCACACTCTCACATGGGTACAATTAGGTTATTGTTTGATTTTAAAGGACATGCATGGTGCTTGTGATGATTGGAGTCTTTGAGTGTTGACTTTGTTCATGCCTGAGAGTAGGGTAGACCCCTGCAGTGGAATGGGATCCTAGGGGACCCAACCTAACAGCTGTGAGTCCAGGACATTTTGACTCTTTTGCAGCCAGGCATGAAACAAACACTCTTTTGCAGGCTGGAGAGGGTGGTTAGATATTAAGGGGTGCGGGATAATTTGGGATCATTAACTTTCATAACCATAATGATTAGGTACCGAGAAAGACACGTACTTTGGAATGGGTGCACTGAAAGCACACAGCTATCAGCTAACCTTCATCTGCCAGTAACAAATCACAAAACTCCAACTGCTATGATGTGATGTAACACACACACGGGTTTTCAGAATTTCAACACAGCACGAGTGGCCTGATGTTTGCATTGCAGAATCCAGTGCAGAAAGTACAGGTTAGCAACACTTTTTATTCATGGCAACTTGAAGTCAGCTAATTGAAAGATTTAGATTGTTTTTGTTCATTTGTGTTTTGAGTTAACCAGCTTTTACATAGCAAATGACCAAAAAAGCATTTCTGAGAGCTATAAATGATTATTAAAAGGCATTAACAGTGCTCTTTATCTAAATATTGCCTTATTTGTGGCTTCCTGTGCTTTGTGGTAAGATAAACCTTAAAATACTGAAATATTCCTTATGTAAAAAAATGAGTTAGGGAGTTGAACAGTGCATGGAGGGCTCTAGGATAGCAACTGTCAGAGAACTATTTTCTCAACTACAGTATATTTCTCACTGTGGCCAAAAAACAACAACTTCTGACTTGTTTTTCAAGAGAACATTCTTTCAGTAGTCTTGCTGCTCATCCAGATGTTCTTTGGCGAACTTGAGACAGGTGGCACTGTTCATTTTAGAGTGTTAAGATTTCTTCTTGGTTATATTGTACTATGAAAAGCACTACTGTTCAATCTCTTCCTGATGGTAGAGCCATGAACAGTGACACTGGCCACACAGAAAGGTCCTTTAAAATCCTGTTTTATATTGGCGTGACTTGTTTCCACTTACCTGCATGGTAAAGGCCAAACTCAGTAGTTTTCTCACCATCATATAGAACGGGGTTTACCCAGTACCTGTTAACTTGTTACCCAATTATATAACCACCTGATTCTAATTACCCCCCTTAAATGTGCTAAATAAACTAGGGGTTCACACATTTCAGATACAAAATTTATAATTATTCATTTGTTTTCTACTTCATATACCATTGCCTTTCATTAAATTGGTAAATATAAACCCTTTCAGTTATTTAAGAAAAGACTGGTATAAATTAAACAAGTGTAATTGTAAGCGATTTGTAATTCTCATAAATTACATTCAAGATTCAGAAGTTTTTTCTGCACTGTAGCGGATGACTTCTGTTATTCCTTCAGTGTTGGTAAAAATAAATCTAGGCAATCACAGCAAATCCTACAGCAACATGAGAGGCTGTAAAGGGACTCCTACTCACAAATGGAGGGAATGATAACTCATTGCTGGACCCTATTGTAAAGTTTACTTACTTTTGTTCCTGAGGCACGAATCTTTTCCACATAATCCCACACTGTCTGAGGTGATATCCTCCCACCAACCTGAATGCTATCTGGCAGGTCCTATAAGTAAAAACATTGAAGGCAATATTAAGGTCTCATTGTTACAGGGTGGCCAATTCAACATATTATGTGTTAATGTTTCAGGAGACTGGATACGCCCTGATCAGCCCACAGCTCTTGCACAGATATCAAGTATGGAAATATGGAAGTCTTGCAAATAACAGAAGATTTATACTCCCCTATCTACAAAGTTACTTTTTATCATTTAGATATTTGTAATGTGGCTCACAAAATACACGTATTAGAAATATATCACCTAACAATGTGAAGGTATCTTAAACATACAAATATACATTATACTGCTTGCCCCAATAAACTGGAATGGCAAAGTGATGAATTTATAAGGTGTTAAGTCTTCCCACAACCATGAATACACCTCTGTCATCCAAATCCTGGTCCCCATGACCCAGGGAGTCTAAACGTCGATCACCAATGCAATGTCCATGGATCCTGTTAATAACTGTTTTCAGATGGATTTTGCAGCTACTGTCTGAAGTCAATTATAGAACTGCATAAGACTAATCCAGACTCTTGGATGCTATTCACTTCTGTGAGTACTGTAACAGACATCAATGTGCGCTACAATTGATATTTGTTTTGTAGCATTTGAAAAGCAGTGTCTCTGTGACATCTGAAGAGGTTTGCAACAGATTATTTGGAATGCCATCTTAAAGCTTACAACGTTCTTGATTATACTCGCCACTGCATAACCTTTGCATTTCTGTTTGGGACGAAGGCTTTACTCTCAAAAGTGTATGTATAACAAGTTTCCCTAACCACACAGTATGGAACATTTGGCAAGGAGTAAAACACTTTGCCAACATTTTGAATTTGCAGTTCTAGGCATTTCCTGCATGCTTCAATGCTAGTGAAGAACATGTTAGACTACTATCCATATTATGTGTAAATCACAAAAATGAATAGATGTTTAATACCCTTTCTCATGCAGTATCCTTTTTGGAACAGAACATACACATTTGGTTCTAACAGGCTAAAGCAAAAACTTCAGGCTAACCTCAGTTAGGTGGTCCAAAATGCCTGATACTGGATAAGCCTTAGTTACAAACTTCGCTACAGAAGGCATGTTGATGAACCCTTTCCAAAGAGACTCCAAACGAGAGAGGAATGTGGCTTCATCCTCTCCACTGCTGGGAGCTTCAGATCTGGAAAACATAGTCAGAACACTGAGATCATGGATAAAAAAGTGAAATCTTTTAAATCCTGATTACTATGCTTTCACACTCACATATCGGGGTTTACTTAATCGCAACACCAGCAGCTGCTTTTAGTAGATTGGTTATAGCATAAATGTCACATTCATCACACATTTTCAAACAACACAATACAATGAATAAAATTTAGAACATGTGCAGTGGACCTTTATAATCTTACAAACAGCTCTGATTTATAAAATCCAAGTCATACTTTTCA